CCAAGAAAAGTGGGAGACCAAAGAGAAGTTCCTCTCCATCAATCTGATGCAAGGCATTGTGAATCAGGGTCCCATTCTCCGAACAGTACCAGTTGGCCCAGTGGGAAATGGCATACATGCTAGCTATATTACAATAGCAACAAACCAGGTGTAAGGCCTGACTACATGACCTTGGGCAGGGCCTTACTCTGCCCAACAGAAAGACAGAAAGACTTTTTTTTTTTAATTTTCAAATTAAAATGTTACAATAGCAACAAACCAGGTGTAACGCCTGACTGGATGACCTTCGGCAGGGCCTTACTGCTTTCCAGAATGTTTCCTGGGAATCTCACAAATAAAATTAACTTTTATTTACAGTGAGGATATTCTAACCGCCTGTGTCCCTGGGATCTAGAGTATCATCTTAGCAACTGAAATCCTGTCTGCATTGCAGGAACCACCCTGTGATCTCATTTAAATTTCTTAGCAACCTTTTGAAGATGATAACTTCAGAGCTCACCAAAATCCTAAGTATGACTCTCCTTAACAAGCCCACACCCACACTCTCGGGTATGCCTCTCTTCCCTGAACTCCTTTCTTTCTACTAACCCCTCTACTTAAGATATAAGTTTAAAATGTGTTTTAATAAATTCCAATTCTGCTTCATACTGACTTATCCTGAAATTCTTTTCTGTGGTGAAGCCAGAGATCTGGCTTGACCTGAGGGGACACCTCTGGGAAGAGCTTGGGCTGCAGGAGTCTCCACCCACTGCTGCTGACAGAAAGAGAATAGAATCAAAAATTTTACGATACACAGTGATAGGTAAAACGTTGGTGGAGAACGAGCAAATGGAGGATGAGGTTTGAAACCCTAATATACAGAATTTACCCAAAGGGAACAGTAGGGAGAAAGGGGAGAGGGGGGGTAAAAACTTCAGAGATCTGTGGAACAGTAACAAAAGCTTGTCATAGGATTAAAGTCTGATAAGGAAAGCTATAGTTTTATAAGTGGTTAACATGGGGAACCCACAGAAAGTGAATATGCAATTATCCAGAAAGTAAGAGTTAAATCTTAAAGGCCAATTGAATCCTAAACAGAAGTATTTCTCATCAATAACCTAACACTATGGCTCTTCGGTGCTCTGAAATTAACAGCCAGCTGTGATCAGCATAATGTGAAAGGCAGAATTTACCGGATCTACCATTCTAGCATACTAGTGAATTCAGGTCATAAGCTTACTTACTAGATTTAATAAATTGGGCCTCATTAAATTAAAAACTTCTACTCTGCAAAAGAAAATGAGAAGACAAGTCACCGACTGGAGAAAATAATAGCAAGAGACACAGCTGGTAACAGGCTGTTTTCTAAAATACACAACCAACTATTAAACTCAACAATAAGAAAACAAACGCTCTGATTAAAATTGAACAAAGACAAAAAAAAGGACCTAAACAAACAAACCTTGCCAAAGATAATATGTAAGTGACAAAAATATGAATATTGTTTAATATAATATATAACTAGGGACTTTCAGATTAAAAATAATAATGACATACAACTTTCAATGAAATAAAGTCTGAAACCTACAGAACTTGAATGACAGAATGAACTAGTATAATTTAATGAATCTACTGAAAAGTTATGTTCATAAAACAAGCTATAGGATATTTCCAAAACCTTACTGTTTAAATTCCCCTAATAAGTTGGAGTATATCTATAGCAGACTAAAGTAGATGTAAATAAAAGAATAACAAAATGAAAAAAACTATCCACTTAGAAATTTTATAACATTCTTCCAAGTAGTTCTTAATTAAAAAAGAAAGCCTAAGTTTCCATCTTATTTCAAAGTAAGTGAAACTAAAGTTCTGTTATCATAAGGTTTCTGGGCCAGCAAAATGGCTCAGCAGGTAAAAGAGATTGCTACACAAATCTGATGGCCTGAGTTCAATCCCCAGAACCCACAACGGAAGGAGAGAACTGACTCCTCAAAGTTGTCTTCTGACTTCCACATGCAAGCCATGGCACAGGCAGACAGACAGACACAGACACAGACACAGACAGACACAGACACAGACACAGACACACACACACACACACACACACACACACACAACTGATAATAAGAAAACTAAAAATTGTTTTCAAACCTTGCTGTTGGCAGAGCATGTCATGACACAGAAATTTGATGACTTTAAATGCATTTACTTGAAAAAAACAGATTCTGAAAACAAACTATTCAAGATTTCAACTCAAGCAAGTAGCAGAACTAAAAATTAAGAAAAATATAAATACAAATCAAAGCGTAAATAATAAAATAGAAAACAAACAGAAAAGAAACATCTAATTAGTGAAACAAAATCTGGTTCTATGAAAAGGCCAATAAAATAGACAATCTGCTTACTTTCCTTGGGAAAGTTCTCTGCCTTTCCCTCCTCCTTCCTTTGGCTCTTTTTCAATCAAACGCAAATAATAAATTCACAGAAAAGAGAGAGTCACAACAAAGTCAGAGGACGTACTTTGAAAAAGAGGCGATTATACACTACTAAATACCAAGCCCCTTGAAATACCAGCCCATATATTTAATTGTTTAGGAAAATAACGATTTCCAAAACTGACTCAGTAAGGGAATTTTTTTTAAATCCATAACGAAAACAATAACAGAGGAAACATAGTGAGTCATCAAAGTCCTCTGACCCAATGAAGACACATTTTCTATCAAAATGTTTACCAAGCAGGAACAGGCAGTTCATGAGTTAGTTAAAATGTTTGGTGAAGCCTACATGGTGACACAGGCCTGCTAATCCCAGTACTTGGCTGGCTGAGGCAGGCTATCATCAGTTTAAGGGCTGCCTACATTACATAGTATTTGGAGCACATAAAAGATGGGAAGTCTTCTTATTATAAGAGACTATATAAACTAATCTCTACACCATAGAAAACTACATAAAAACTTCACCTGTGAACAGAGATGCAAAATGCTATGTAAAATGCTAGCAAATTAATTCAGCATTTTATCATAAGAACAATGTTTTTCATAAACTTTTACACATTGCTAGCAATATATGGGTAGTTGCTTTAATATCACAAAGATAATTATTATTTAACAATTATGTATTTATTTTAACTTTAAATTTATGGCAAGTGATAATAGTTTACTCACTTATACTCACAGAAATACAAGTATTTAAGTGATTACCTAACAAAAAACTAGTATAGAGCCCTTATAGCTGTAGCAAAAATCTCAAGAAAGGTAAATACACAAAATTTATGGAATCGTGAAATACATGGCAGATCAAAATGGCTTTATACCAGAAACATGAGCATAACTTCATATTAGAAAACCAGTTATTTAAAGTAATGGTTAAAGCCATACACAGGAGGTGTAAGGAGATCCGGATTCAAGGTCATCCTCGGCTTACGTAGCGTGCTTGAGGCTAGCTTGGACTACAGGAGAAACCATTCAAAAAAAATGACAGCAACAACAAACTCACCAAAGGAAAAAAATCATGTGATCATCATATTAAGAGAAAGTGAAAAGAAGCACTTATTAAAATTCAGTAGTCATTTCTGATTTAAAATAAATGTTAAGCCAGTCATGGTGGTGCATGCCTTTAATCCCAGCACTTGGGAAGTAGAGGCTGGAGGACCAGAAGTTCAAGGTCATTCTTTGCTACAGATAGCAAGTTCAAGGTAATACTGGATTACATAAAACCCTATTTCAAAATAAACAAACAGGGGGCTGGAGAGACCGCTCAGCCCTTAAGAATACTTGCTGTTCTTTCAGAGGATCCAGGTTCGATTCCCAGCACCCATACAGCAACTAACAGCTGTCCATAACTCCAGTTCTAGGGGATCTGACACCCTCTTCTGACCTCCGCAGGCTTTGCATGACACAGGTGCACTTACATATATGCAGACAATACACTCATACACATAAAATTTAAAAATGAATAAAATATTTAGAAACAAGCAAAACTCCTATAAATAACCCAAAGAAAATTGGACAATTTATATATACAGGCAATCAAAAAGGGAGGAAATATAAATATCTAATATTCATATAAAAAATGCTCACCCTCATTAGTAAAAAAGAAATACAAACTGAATATCCATGAGGTAACTTTTTTCATGTAAGAGATGGAAAAATAATACTGATATCAAAAATGTAGAAAATGGCCAGTTCATAAATAACTGATCAAATAAAATTAATGCTGTCTTCTCAAAGGACATTTTAGTACAATGCTTATCAAAACTTTAAATTGGCTTTCAGTATTTTCACTTCTAAGCATTTATTCTGTGGAAAAACATATGTTCAAAGAAATATAAATCATACATATAATAACAAAAATAGAAATGACAAATGTTGAAAAGAGAAATGACTAAGTAAATTATGATATATGCATAGGAAAAGTGTTGCTGTTGTTAAGAGCAAGGTAAACTGTATGCATTAATGTACAACCATTTCCAGTGTGTAGAATTAAGTGACAAAAGTCACACATTTAATATCTTCATCTTAAAAATCAATCTATTAAAAGACATAAAGCATGGATGGAGAGATGGCTCTGTGGTTAAGAACACTTGATGTTCCCAGGGTCCAATTCCCAGCACCCACACGGCAGCTAACAACCATCTATAACTCCAGTTCCAGGGAAACTGACACCCTCTTCTGACCTCTGCAGGCACTGCATGCATGTGGCCCACTTACATACATGCAGACAAAACACTCATATACCTAAAATTAAAATAATAAAGTATTTTGATTTTAAAGACATAAAGCTGCAAATATAAAAGAAATATACATATATATGTATAATGGACATCAACATATATCTATAATAAAGGTAAAGGCACAGAGAAGAATATAGAAAAATATACAGCTGGCCTGGAACTCACAGTGCTCCTGTTCCAGGCTCCTGAGTGCTGGAATTATAGGCACATACCACCATGTCAACCAAAACCCATTTTTCTGTATTTTTTCTTTCAAATTAAACAAAAGATAGAAAAGAAAACATACTCCAACCTTTCTTTTTTGATTTCACTCTCAGTCCTATACGCCTCAAACTCTTGGCTAAGAGACTGCAGCCTGTCTTGAAGGCTCTTTTCACGTTCTGCGCTTCCTTGATAGAACTTCATCTTTTCTTCTGTTGCTTTCAGTTTCTCTCCCATAGCCTTAAATTCATGAAGAATTAGATAGCTGACACCACAGTATTTACAGACTGTTTCTTCGGGAGACATCTAGGAAATAGAGCATATATTTACTGAAATGTTATGTCTTTAATCCTGAAAAATCAACTTCAACCAAAGATGTGATTGCAACCATGCTGGTCAGACAAAGTAAATCTATAGTAAGTACACTGTGCTGCCTGTGTCTGGATAAAATTTTAAAACTAGTATACTCACAGTGACACAAAATCTTGGAAGGAGAAAGGGGTCTCTCAAAGCAACCATTTCTCCATGGTATCTCTCAGAAAGATTTATTCTATTTTCCATAAAATGAAACTAAATATGCTGAAGACATCGTTACAAGTTTAGTATTAAAATGAGTTTTCTATGTTGGAAGGGCCAGTGGCCTTAGGCTGCCAACTATATTATGATCCTAGAAATGCCTCTGGCTTTTTCAGGTCTTATTTGCTTGTTTATAAAATTGTGACACTGGATCACTCAGTTGTAACATTTTACAGGCTAATACCGTCTGTAACTCTAGTTCTAAGTGATCCAACACCCTCTTCTGGCCTCAGCTTTGGAAAGTAGTTTCGCATCCTGTGGGAGGCGAAAGTAGAAGCTGGACAATATATCTAGGTTGGAGTGTCAAGACAACTTCTGAAAGTCATCCTCTGATTCCACACATGCTGTAGCACACACACAAACATACAAAAAAAGTGTCATCAAAAATTTCAAATGAACTAGCAAGGTTCACATGCTGTCTGTCTCTCAGTGAACGGAAAAATTGGTCCCAGGGTCACTGCCTTTACTAGTACTCCCTTACAAACTCTTAATAATGTAGCCTGAAGTCTTGTCTGGAATTGAAATAAAGCTCACTTGTAATTTACAGGAACTTCATACATGCAACAACATTTGCACATTATCCTCTCTCTGCCAGTCTTCAAACACAGCTAGGATTGGTTCTGCTATCCAGTTCAAAATTACCATCAGCCTCCAGGAAGGCAATTCATCCAGGTCGAGACCTGAGGTAATTCAGAACAGATGGTGTCTTCTTGCAATCCCTTTGCCCGTCTTAAGTTTTGATTCCTCCTCATCAATTAGAAAACTCTATTGCTTCCTCTAAGGCTTTTTTATCCCTAAACTTTGCCCATTAATCACAGACTTTGTCTTACTCCTGGCAAAATGCCCCACCCTTATGCTAAAGAAAACTCTTCATGCATATCTGCAATTTGATGTACAAAACAGAAACAGTATAAACTTCACAATGTTTAAACTATTAGAATAAATAGCATTTGTCAGAGCAATCAAGGGATGAAAAGCTAAAATAAGTGAAGCAAAATATTTTAGAGGCTTTCTAGGTGTTCAGTGAAGAAAATATGATAGTCATTCTGATCTGGGAAACAAACATTAAAATAATAATAGACCCCCAAAATGGTCTCCAGACTTCTCCCAGTACAACCTGGATTCCTGAATTATTTGTTAAATGAGTACAATGCACACAAGTTTTCAATGCTGTCAAATTGTAATAATTTTCTGTAAACCAAACTGCATCAGAAAAGATATAATAACCTTTTCAAATTCATAGTGTCTGTATGAGCTAATTACTCAGGACATTTTATGAAAGCTGAGAAGATATGAAATACTGTAATTACATATACAAATGGAGCAAGTAAAAGTTATCTATTTGTTGTGAATTATAATTTGTGCTTCCTTCTTCTAACTCAGTGTTATATCGTCTCATTTTGAAAGTAAAATAATGGCATACTGTCACTCGACAAAAGGGCCATCATTAATGGATGCTTCTGCCTCTTCTGCTGGAGGGGACATTAACAAAAAGTATACTCAACAAACACATTCAAAAATAAATTATAGGGGCTGGAGAGATGGCTCAGCAGTTAAGAGAATTTACTATTCTTCCAAAGGACCTATGTTCAGTTCCCAGAACCCACACAGTGGGTCTGTCTGTAACTCTAGTTCCAGGTGATCCAACACTGACTTCTAGACTCAGCAGGCACCAGGCATGTACATGAAGCACACACATGCATACAGCACATAAAATAAAAATAAATTTTAAAATAAAATAGGCATGGTAGCATACACCTTTAATCACAGCACTCAAGAGGTAGAGGCAAGATCTCTGTGAATTCAAGGCCTGCTTGGTTTACATAATGAGTTCCAGGCCAGCCAGGGCAACATAGTGAGACCCAGTCTCAAAAATAAGTAAGTAAATAAATAAATAAATAAATAAATAAATAAATAATAAAATCGGGACTGGAGAGATGACTCAGTGGTTAAGAGCACTGGCCGTTCTTGCTGAGGACCTGGATTTGGTTCCTAGTATTCACATGGTGGCTAACAACCATCTTGTAACTCCAGTTCCAGGGGCTCTGATGCCCTCTTCTAATTTTGGGGGGCATTGTACAACACAGATACACTTACATACATGCAAGCAATACACTCATACACATACACATTTTTACATAGAATAAAAATAGTAAATAAAGTATATTTAAATTTTTTTTAAAAAGTAAGTGCACACCTTTAGTCCCAGCACTCAGGAGGCAGAGGCAGGTGGACCTCTGCGAGTTCGAGGCCAGCCTGGTCTACACAGCAAGTTCCAGGTCAGCTGGGACTACAGGGAGACCCTGTCTCAAAAAGACCAAGATAATAATAATAATAATAATAATAATAAGAAGAAGAAGAAGAAGAAGAAGAAGAAATTAGAAACAAACATCTTAATGGTGTTCGTACTCTTAAAATTATAGCTACTTAATTATAAAAATCATGTAAGCTTTTAAAAGGCAAATTAGGCCTCAAATCCTTGTCAGAGTCCCTAACCATACTCAGCCACAGAAGCACTTAACAGCCTCCCCCTGACCAACTGAGCCAGTCCCTGCTCCCAAACTGTGCCTGCTTTCTCCCTTTCTTTCTTTTCCTAGTCTACCGTACATTCCACGCCTTTTTTGCTTAAATAAAAGAAACAAACTTTAGACAAAAGTCAAAGTGACAACAGTATAAAATGTTAATTATTTTAGATAATTTTGCATTTTAAAAAATGCCTTTAACCAGTGATTTGCCACAGAGCCTGATGACCTGAGTTTGATCCCTGGAATCCACAGGTTGGAAGGAGAGAACCGGCTCCCACAAGATGTCCTCTGACCACACCCACATACTATGGCAAGCACGCGCGTACACACACACACACACACACACACACACACGCACACGCACGCACGCACGCAAGCAAGCACACACTAAAATATAATTAAAATTTTTTAAATGCCTTTACTCAAAACAATAAGTGGTTAGTAAATTTCATTCAAACTGGCAGAAAAATTTTGAGTTAAGACAGTGGACCCTTGCAGCACAAACCAGCTGACCATTTTGTAAGTCTATCAGGACCATCAATCTTTATTAAATCAATGTGCTGCACTGCTGGTTTAAAAATCAATTTAGTAAACATTGTTACAAAAGAAACCTACAGCTACATTACACTTAATACTAAAACTTGAGTGCTGTCCCTTACCCTGGGAAAGAGGCAAAGATGTTTATTCTCACTGTGCTTATTTAACACAGTGCTGGAAGGTCTCTATCCAGAGCAGTAAGACAGAAAAAGGAAGGAAAAGGCAAATGGATTGGAGGGGAAAACCAAAACTGCCCCTATCTGTGAAGGCATGGCTGTCTATACAGAAAATCCTAAGGAATTGACAATAAACCTCTTAGAATTGGCTAGAAAGATGCCTCAGCGGTCAAGAACACTTGCTGCTCTTCCAGAGGACCCAGGTTCAATTCCCAGCAACCACAGGTGACCAACAACCACCCACTGCTCCAGTTCCAGGGGATCCGACACCCTCTTCTGGCTCTGCAGGGCACTGCATGCATGTGGTGCATTTGCAAACATGCAGACTCACACACACTCATACACGTAAAATAAAAATAATGTTTTTTAAAAACTCTTAGAATTAGTAGGTGCAACAAGGTCGCAAGATTATCAGTTCTATTTGTGTTATTTTCTGTGAGTGTAAGAACATGAAAATTAAAAGACCAGCTATACAGGGCTAGTGAGGTAGTGGTAAATACCTGGCTAGCAGGTATTTGATTTCCCAGTACTGAAAAAAAATCCACACATACCAAATACTGTTTAAAATGTGTATAGAATTTATATGCTGAAAGCTAGAGAACTCTGATTAAATAAACAGAAGATCAGGAGTGTCCAACCTTTTGACATTGTGATACAAGGTTGTCTTCTACAGAGTTCACGCTTGAGAAATGAGCAACTGAGTTACAAGGAAAAAAATCAGAAAAAAAAAGATCTCATAATGTTTTAAGTAAGTTTACAGTTTTAAGTTGGGCTGCATTCATTGCTATCCTGGGCAGCTTGGGAAATGGCAAAACGTGTGCTTATGGATTAGAAGATTCAAAATATTAAAGATCAGATTGATACACAGGTGTAATTCAATTCCTAGCAAATCCCAACAAGATACTTTATGGACAGGATTACTCTCAGATTTATATGAAAAGTCTGAAGGAACTCGAACAGCTTTAAAAATCCTGAAAAGAAGAATGAATTAAGAGGAAACGACTGCCTGGATTCAAGGACACTGTACTCCTAGCTAATCAACACCATATTGTACCGGCAGAAGGAAAATGGAATCAAGTAAAGAATCTAGAAAAGACCTACACAAATATGCTGGTCTGTTGGTATGACAGCAGCTCAATCAAGGCAAGACAGCCTTTTCTATAAATGGTGCACATAAACAGGCTAGTTTTGGGTTAAAAGAAAAACACATACACATGAATCTCTACCTAAACCTCAAATGTTATACAAGTATATTCAGAATGAATCATGGACTTAAATGTAAAACATAAAAATGTGATTTTAAAAGGCTGAAAAAAAAAAAACCAGGAGAAAAATCTTCAAGATGTAACCTAGTATAAGAGTTCTTACTTGTCTATTCTAGTTTGCTTTCTGTGGCTGTGATAAAACACTCTTGACCAAAAGCAACTCAGGGAAGAAAGGATTTATTTTGCTTATACTTACAGGTGATAATCCATCACTGAGGGAAGTCAGG